TCTTATTATATTAAAAGATACATATGTTTACTAATTACATCAAACTACTCTTCATTGTCAACCAACTTTTATTTTATTTAGTTCCTAACAACAGAAAAAACAAACTGACCACCTTGAAAATAATTACAAGAAATCATATTCATTTTACCTATACATATATGCATTCATATTTAATACATTATTTATTAGAACAAGCACATACAAGCAAAGATTCCACTGAAGTTGATCCTCAGCAGTAACAAGGCAGCCATTAATGAACAAAGTAGAAAACATGCAAGTATATCACATCACAGGCTGTATTTTCAAAAATATAAAAATAAGCTGTCTTTTGAAAAAAGTCTTCTTACTTCTTATGTTTTTATTTAAATTTATACCCAATCTAAAGAAAATAGGTGTAAGTATAAAACTATGTCAGAACTCAGGTTACCTTATATTTAATGATCTCAAGTTGCCTAAATATTTATTCTCTAGCTCAATGGTCACAGTCAATGAAGATGTTATAACTTGCTAGGCACCAGTTCTCAAGAGTTCTTAGTGATTTGTTAAACACATCATGGAAATAGAAGGTAAAATTTATTTTTTATGGCAAACAAATTTATTTCTCTAATCTTTTAAAAAACCGGGTGCGCTTGCATCACTCATTGCAAAGTAACAGTTCTACCAGAAATCAGAGCAACAGGTTAACGCAAGGAATTATGTTAAAGATCAGTAGCTGAAGTCTAAAAGCAACAAACCAACTGGTTTTGAAATGAGCATGTTAATCAAAGACAGCCTGTTACCAGAACACAGAAATGTGTCCTCATAATAAAGGTAATGGTCCTAGGGACAAGCATTATTTCATTATTACTAACAACATAGCAGAACATCTCAATAATATTTTTACCCTTCAAAGCTGTCGAGGCTTTTCGTGTTCCCTAAGCTCATCAACATTAAAGATGAAGCAAAAAGCAGCCGACTGGCTAAAATGCAATGTACGCACATGCACACTAAGATGCCTACACAACTCTGTCCTCTTTGTCAAACTCTTTAACAGTTAGAAAGATTTGTAAATAATTGTTTTTATTAATTTAAAATGTTTCTGTTCTAGAGATGGTAAACAATGCAAAATATGATTAAGCCTTATGATTCTAACATCATTATATATTCCTTTGCCATTGATGTTCCATAGTTGAATATACATTTCCCTTTGCCACTTTAAAATAAGGCAATTGTGCACTTGACTTCATTACCCTTCCGGTTGGCAGACAAGCATATGGTGAACCCAATTCATTTATGTCCCAACACTTCAGATACTTGGCACCCAGCTTACATCACACCCTCTAAATATTAAGATTACTGGACAATCTGTTGGTATCCATTTGCTACTGAATTTTTACCCTGTTTGTTATTGTCATGTTATATGCACACAAAATGTTTTTTAAATGGAGGTTCTTTATTTTCAAGCATTAAATAGAGAAAAGTAAAAGGGTGCAAAAGAACTTGTAAAAATTATTCTTTAAAACAGAAAAGCCTCCTTCAAGAAGGTTATGCTCACATAATTCTCAAATATAATAAATTAGTAACTTAATCTGGTTTGCAATGTATCTGTTATATTGCAAATGTGTTTGCTTATTCACAGTGAGATACTTGATGAGGCATCAGAGGCAGAGGCCAAGAAGTAGTCAACGCTGTTATTCGTTACAGTCAGGCTGGGTGCGTTTACTCAATGAGCAATTGGATGCATTTACTCAATGAACAATTATGGATTTAATACCCAAGATTGGTTACTCTGTCATATTTCTTCCCAGAAAATTTAAAGCCAAGTAGTTCTGCTGCTTTGTCAGAAGAATTGTTGTGCTTATGCATGTAAATGAGTTACATGCAAATATTTGCTAGTAAAACATGTAATAGGGGAACTGGAATTATTTCACCTCTCCTCTCCAACCTATAGTATCTATTAATTCTTTATTTTTAAGCAAAAATAATCATATTTTGTGTGATTGTGAAGCTTACATAGTGAAATATAGGAAATATGCCCCAAACTAATCTGTTGCAACAGGTATAGGAAATACAGTAACATATGTATAAAAGCGACATTCACAGAAGGCAAAAAAGAATCCTACATGATATAAATTTTCCGTAGGAGGCTACAACTGAGGCAAACTTTCCAATGATAATATTCAAATGATTTATGTAAATCAGAAAGGTCAAATTCTTCAGCTTATCCACTCCAAGTGAAGATTACTGTAGGTATTAAATTATGCAATACTAACAGTTGAATTTTAGAAAAGATAATGAGAGATGTTTTACTACCTTTATTCCAATTCAAAAGGTCTTATAAAAACTTCCCATCCAGAGTCTCAGATCTCACTGAGTGCTTTTGGAAAATGACATTTTCCCTCTTGGTAGCAGAGCTTTCAACCTCACAATGCCTCCAGCCTAGGCACTAAAATACAAGCTACAGACAAGTACGAGTATTCATAACATTTGTCAATGCAACAATCAGAGTGTTATTTCTTTTCATTGCTACCCCTCACATCACCACTAGTATTTCGACAGGGGGGGAAGTATGATAGAGGGGAAGCCAGCAAAATTTATTACATTGGTAAGTAAGTAATTCTGATATTTTAAAGAAGTTTGTCTTCACAGAGGTCATAGCTGATTAACACAACGTAACGGGTTTAATAAAAGAGTTTGCTTTCTTGAATAGCAAGGCACTTTCCCAGGGATGTGGCCTGTGTATCAATTTGTACCATACAGCTGTCATTTGGTAACAGTAATCTAGTAGTCTTGAAAGAGTTAATTTTCCAAACAGTCTGCAAATAATTTTTACTCTGGAAAATCAGGTGCAACTAATTAAATATTTGAGTTTTGCAAGAGAAGAAAACGTCATTAGTGAGGGACTTTCTCCTTATTAATGCTACTGTGAGGAAACTGGTAATAAAATCCTGAATGCTTATAAGTCTTCTACCACAAGATTTCATTAGAGAAAATCCTTGTCTTTGACTTTGATCTTTATCAGTTGTTTTTTCATTGCCAATATTTTAACTAGCTAATTTTCTGATGATAGTGAACAGAACATTTCAAGAGTTTGAAGTTACATAACTTCACTGATTTTCAGGTGAGATACTTCACGTGGCAGACAATTTTTAAAGGGTGCAGTTTCTATTCAGTATTTTTTCCTTTTGTATAAATAAAGAAATGAAATTCTATAATGAGCAGTCATACTATACAGTTAGTTAACAGCATAGTAATTCATTCTCAGCATCAAGAAAAGTGTAATACAGTTCAAAAAGAATTCAGTTAACACAGTTAATTTTTGTAAAGGTTCAGTTATCTAAAGTTCAGAATGTTAGCCTAAAAATTATCTCTACTTTTTAATGTTCGTTCTGACATTTACATGTAAATGACTTAAACTCTTTAAGCTTTAGAGATAACACACACACACACACACACACACACACATCATCATCATCACCATCACTATCACAAACCATAATTTAGTGTTTCCCACATATGCTTGATAGAAAGAATTATCAAAGGAACACTTTACAATAATGGATCTTAGAACTTTCTAAGGAGATTCTGATTATCTAGACATAGAGATATGAAGAAATATATTCAGACCACTTTTTGTTTTTTGTATAGAGTTGTAAATCACCAACTCATTCTAGTATGTGATAGTTTGGTTGAAGAGCTTTAAAATACAAGAACACATCGCTCAAATTTCCTGCAAAGCACTCTATGCAATAAACCACACAATAATCCCAAATAGCTGTTTGGGGTAAGCTAGAGCCATCGTTTATAAACAATTTCTTCTCTTAGACCTTCAGTGTTATTAGGGCAACCAAGTGCTAAAATAAATTATTAAGGAATATTATTTTGAAATATATATAAAAGAAAAACTTTCTGGTTTAGATATTTACTTGCCCAAATAGATTATCAATATAGAGCACATTGGGCACTGTATCCAAAAATCTACAGCTCTTTGATTCTTCAGTGTTTTTAACAGAACTGATCAGATGACTGAATATATTAACAGAGATCAATTCAAAACAGCTGGTCAGTGACATGAACAACAATTATAGTTAATGACAAAATAATGAGCCAAATGTCCAATAAGGTCACATAGAGTTTTGTATGTAGCCTTTGCTTTAAATCACTATGGTTGTAAACAACGGAAAAGGGGCCCTGTCATATAATTAGCTCTTTATCTAGCTCAATGTGCAACTTTTAATACAGAGCAACAAATGTGTATGATCATGACTATAGCTACCCAATGCTAACACTGCCAGCTGGAAACTTTGTAGTGGTAGCTGGTGCTTATTTTCAGCCTTTTGCTGTTAATGAGTCACTCATCCCATTTTATCCCACTTTGTGCCATTATTCATTACAAATAAAACACATCGTTTGTTTTCCTACTAAAAATATTTAAAAAGTGGAAGAAAAAAGCCATTGCTATATTCGTGACACTCATTTGCAATTAAAAAATGTTTTCACACTTTTTCCACTTGAATACATTCAACATTTTTACTTGAATTTACCCTCTCCTGTCCCTGAACCATATTCTTCAATAACATACAACTTTGTATTTCTCCTGATAAGAATGAGAGACTTGTTCAAAAGGCTGATAATATATTAGCTCACAAAGTATAGAGGTAACCTCTTAGCATAAACTTTTTTCAGCCACACTACTTTTGTAGATGTCTGTCAAGAGGAAAACCAACATAAAAAGTAGTAAGACCTTGAACAAGGTGTGTATCTGGCCAGTAATGCTTTTTTCTTTTTTTCATCCTCACCAGAGGACATGCTCATTGATTTTAGAGAGAGGGGAAGGGAAGGAGAGAAACATGATGTGAGAGAGAAACATCCAACGGTTGCATCTTATACGCACCCTAACCTGGGACCCAACCACAACCTGGGCACCCGCCCTAAACTGGGTACCAAACATAGGACCTTTCGGTTTGCAGGATGAAGCTCCAACCAACTGTGCCACAGCAGCCAAGGCGATGTTTCTCTTTTTAAACAGGGTCCACCTTTATTAGGTTATTGGTGGTCATGAGTGGAGAGGGTTTGCATTTAACCCTCTTTGCCACCTCATCAGTGCTATCCACAAAGAACATCTTGGCTGTGCACAGGGACACTATAATTCTCCTGTACTCCTTCCTGAAATTTTGATTCAGTAGTCCATAAATAATTGCATTGAGGCAGCTGTTGAAATACGCCATATAATAACTGCCAACAAACAGCCATTCTGGGATCCTGGGGACCATGCTGTCAGGGTCCGAGGCCACCGCAAGACCAATGAAGTTCAGCGGAGCCCAGCAGATGGCAAAAAGCACAAAAACCACAAACATAGTGACAAAGTTCCGGAAATCCTGGGGTTTCAGTTTGGGTTTGCTGTCAGGTTTCACCCTCCATCTGACCTGAAGAACCAGGATCCATATTCTCAGGTAGCAGAAGATGACGATGAGCATCGGCAGGATGAAGTGGAAAACCACCAAGGCGATGGTGTAGGTGGAGCAGATGGACTGCGTGAAGGTGCAGGAGTAGATGCGCGGGTCATACTGCAGGGTCCCCACGCGCAGGTTGGGCATGATCGCCACCAGCGTCAACATCCATATCAGGAACACGCAGCAGAGGGAATTCTTGTTGCTGTACAGCTTGTCGTACCTGAGACTGTGGCAGATGTAGCAGTAGCGGTTAATGGCAATGGCCGTGATACTGAAGATGGAGCCAATGACGCTCAAGCCCATCAGGAAGCCGCTGACTTGGCAGTGCAGGTGGCCCAGGTTCCACCCGTTGTTAACTACAGACGTCAGCACCGAGGGGTACGGGTAAACGGCCCCCACCAGGTCTGCCACGGCGAGGCTCACCACAAAAACGTTTCCTACAGGGGGAGGATTGAGAAAATGCAGATTAATGCCAGTATTTCATGGATGGCCTTTTCTCTCACAGTTTTATTTACTTATTTTTCAAAGAGCTGTTTCTGCAACTTGGACGACCTGACATCACAGCGACTATAGGTTATGAATGAGGTGGAGGCTGTTTTCACCAGGAAGTGAGCCCATTTGCTGCCGGTGTCAAGTTCACGCCCCCCGCCCCCCACATCCCCAGAGCAGAGCTTAGTCCATCTTCAAAACTGTCCTCTTTCAAACTGGTTTCTCTTGTGCTTTACAAAAAAATCTTGAGGTCAGTATATTCCTACCACATCTTTTGTTCTTGAATCTTCTACATCATCCCCAAATTTTGTCTTGTTATTTCTCCAGGCCTCCACGAATTCCTAAGTCCAGGCTTTCTACCCCTGTCTTATTCTCCAATGCTTCTCAAATGGGCCTCTAATTGCTGTCCTTGGAGAGCAATGGATCCTTGTCCACCATGTCATAGTTAAGAGAAAAAGACTCTGTCCTCAGCTGTCTGGCTGAGGACATCGATGTCAACCCCTGCTAGCTGTCTACCTGGGACAATGCCACCGTCTCACCGAACTCAGTTTCCTCTTTTCTAAGATGGCAACAATGACGGTGTCTCCTTCATGGGGGTGTGATGAGCACAGAATGAGGCAATCTATGTCAATAGCTGAGCAGTATGTCCCATGATGCGTGCTCAGTAATAGTTGCTGGGAGACTACAACTCGTGCCTAACTCCGAAGGAAGAGGCGAAGTATATTTAGATGTATGAAGAACTTAAGGTACAAAAATTAAACCCTAAATATTCAGATTAAGTGATAATTTCCTATGTTAACATAACAATGCAACATATTTTAAAGTTTAAAAAAAGAACTCTAGTCAAAGTTCAGCTAGTGCATTGTTGACTTTAGTGGCTTGCTTGCCTTTGTTACAATTCCCTGTGCCTTGGATGGTGCCTTTCCCTCCCTTTTAAAATGCTACCCATTTTCCCAACTCCACCTTAAATAAAAACTACCCAAAATTTTACTTACTTAGATCACTTTATTTATACCGTTTTTAATTTAGATTAAATTATAATACATTCCATTCAATAAAAAGTTATTAAGTGCATATGACAGGTGCTGAGGAAACAGGAATAAACAGGGATCTTATGATCCATGATCTTAGAAAAACAAATTAAAACAGAGAGGAAGAAGTGCCACAGGAGTTTGGACAGCTTGAGAAAAGGTATCCGGAAGAAAGCAAGCTAGCCGGACGGGAGTGGGGTTTTGGGGGGGACATTCCAGGCAGCGTGGCTGCATGCTTTGTCTTTTATTATCCTCTTTGTGAACTTGGCTTTCCTATGTTTCTATGCTGTAGTACCCTGAGATTGTCTCCCCCATCCTTTGTATCCTGAACAGTACCCAGCTGAGACTTCTCAAATGCTGGATGAAGTAAATTAAATTGTCATCTCCCAATATCTGAAACAAAATAGCCTTTATACTTGAAATTCCTATATCATTATTTTTATTTACCCCTCCCCCCAAAAACATTGTAAACAGTGAAGTAAAATAGTAGTTGTGACCAAAAAAAGGCAAGGTTTTGTCATTTAATTAGGAATTTTGGATACATTGTCATATAAATGACTTCTTTGAAAAGTGGTTATAGTAGGCCAAATTATAGCAAATTTATTCTTCCTACAGATCAATTCCAATTACCAATGAAATATTTAATTTCCAAAGTGGGCATATTTGAATAAATTTTCAATTCAACATATTTTATACTTTAAAATAAGTGTAATATATGAAATTCAGCTACAAATTAGTCATCAGAACAGTACATTTTAACCCAGAATGTCATGAGAAACTGGTCAAATACAGATTTATTTTTAAAAGAGCTTACAAATAAAATCACAAATAATGTCATAGATTTCTAACATGGCTTTAATCCTCTGTTCCATTTGTTTTGCAGTAATTGTGCTTCTTTTCTGTTCAGGTAATTATATTAATAAAGTCATTAGTTTAATTTTCTTTGAACTAATCTCATTTTACAACTGTTTGGAGAAACAAAATAAGCCATGGACTCTGCAGATGTGGCTCTCAGGTAGCTGCTTATCTGGAAGCTTTATCACGTTCTCTATATTGTGAGGAGCATGTGTGTGTGTTGTGTGGGGAGGCTGTTTTGTTGGTCTTTTTCTTTCTTCTCTCCCTCCTGCCATCTAATATGTGTTAGTAGTTTAGTAGTTAGTAGTTAGTAGTAGTTAGTAGTTTAAGCTCACATCTCAGTATTTCAGTTATAAGACACTAAATGAGGAATGTGATTCACCTGGAGGAATAATGAAAACCAGGCATAGATCAATGAGGAGACCGTGTCTTTTGGGGAGAGGGTTAGTTTGTTTTTAGTTTTACAAGAATAGTTGCAGTGTGTTAGGTAGAAGCATAGTTAGGACGTTCCCTTTATCTGAAAGTTAAGTATGGTGTGTGTGTACATACGGATGCCCAGTTGCCAAGGGGTGGACTGTGGTGGGTTTGTATAGTGTCATTTCAGCAAGGCTGGAACTACGCTTCCCAGAATTTCCTCCCTGGCATAGTGATGTGTTAACATGCTCCAGGTAGGAATGGAAGTTTGGAAGGTGGAAGTGAAGCGCAAGTCACATTTTCTCTTATTGCTCAGAAGTCTCAGCCAGAGCATTAGGTGCTGTAGCATCTCCACCGTTAACTAGTGGGATCTTAGCTCGGTGAGAGTACTAGAATTTCCTATCCTGGGCCAGGTTCTTATCTTTTATCATTTATTTTTGCTGCTTAAAAAAAAAAGAAATCCCACACGCTGCAAGTCTCCTGCTAAATTCCGTTTGAATGAATACTTTGGCATCATTTGCTGCTATGCAAATCCCAGGGAAATCTGTCTCCTGCTGTAACATTGTATGAAGTGTGGGCCTTTAAGGTTTTCATCAACAACGTTTCTACAGCCCTGGCTATCTTGTTCCCAATTTGGTAATGATCAAATCCGTGCAATGATTTTAACCGAGAAGATCAATTTCCTTCTGTGGGCTCCTCAAAGTGCAGGCTACGGGAGCCCTTCCTGCGGCAGGCCTGGTCCCTAGGCTGCCGCCGTACATTCTCGCTACTTCAGAAGCCTCCCAAGTAGCTGCTGCTAATGTCCTTCCAGGTCCCCTTGGCCGGTCTAGTGCATTTATCCCTGGAATTCGGACGGGAGTTGGGTGCGGGGCATTTGGCTGCAGCGCAGGAAACGGCCCTCGGATGAGCAGGTGAGGGTGACCCCTGGCAGTGGAGCACAAACGGCCAGCCCTCTTGCCCCAGGTGGTGGCAACTCTGTGGATGGATTTATGCCCAGAAGCCGCAGCCCCATGGGTGAGGCCGAGTCGAGGCTGCCCATCGTTGCTCGACTCCTCCGCTTGAGCCTCACTTCCTTCAGGTCTTCTTGAGAGCCCTCCCCCAACGGAGCGGGAGTACCGGGCCTCCCAGCTTGCTCCGGGGCTGGGCTTCCAGGCAACCTGATGCAGACCTTCAGCTCTGAGAAGAGAACGGGTGGTTTTATAACGAGGTTATTTCTCAGGCTGTCTCGCTTTCTTCAAAAGATAGAGGGCCAATGCATTATCCTCAAACAGCTATGCTTTGTCTCCATTATTGACTAATTGATTTGAGGTTCTCACATTGATTCTGCCTTACGTGTGCTGTAGCTTCCACATTTCCTATTTTTTATTTCCTGCTATTATTACCTATTTTTCTTTCATCCTGAGATAACGTCTTTTAAAAATTCTTATCACTACGTACCTTGAGTTCCAGCTACCATCATTCACCAACCAACTTCCAAATTACTTTTGAAAAGTTTTCCTGCTACATAAACATGTTTCTAGTGATATCTTTGTACTCCATGTTTTATTTTTATCTGACAAAGAACAAACAAATTTTAAAAGTGCTGTGATAGAAAGTAATCTCTTTGAAAATAGGAGCCATGTTTTATACGAGCTTAACACAGTGTCTTGCATTTTGACAAACAAACAAAAACTTGCCGACCATTTATATTTTGACTTATACTGTAGGTGACAATAAATAGTTACCTAAATGACTATTCAATTCAATAAAAACCAAAAGTGCTCAATAGCAAAGCAGGTAAGCATCCTTTAAAGCCATAATGTCAATAACTCAAATTTATTCATTAACCTGAATATTATTTAGCCCTAAGTAGATTTTTCCTTTTTCTTCACTAATTTCTTCAATGTGATTGCCAAAAGTGTATAGCTCTGTAGAAAAATTAACCTTAGGAGACCTCGATCAGAAAAATCCAGAAGTTTATTCCTCATTTGCAGCATTATTAAACTTCACTAAAATTTCTTGAGATAGAATCCTCAGGGTTCAGGTCATTTGGTTAGCCAACCTTTCTGAAAGGTGAAAATGTTAGGGTGCTGATTAAGGAACCATCGTTACAAAGGGGAGTGGATGAAATTATGACACCATGCAGAGCTCTGAGTATGCACAACTGCTTCTTGAAAAACAATCCATTAATTGCCTCTTTGGTAGCCTAGAAAATCCTGAGAATGTGTGTATTTCTTTTATAGAAGATAGGGCATTTCTGTCAGCTAGGCAACCTGAAAATACGTAGGAGAAATAGGAAGAAATTCAAGGCTTCTTGCACGTATCTTACTATTCACCTCAAATATTCTAGTTATTATTTTTAAAAGGGGCTAATAAAGATCGAGCAGAACAAGCTCCAGAGGCTTTATGGAGATTTAAAATGACTTCTAAGGCACATATTTTTCAAAGCAGGGATTTAAAAAACAAAGACAGAGCAATCAAATGTTAGTAAGAACTAAAGCAGGAGGTTTAATTTAGGACTATTTTTAACTGTGCTTAACTTTCAAAATTTCCAAGAAAAAAATGACTCTGAAAGATAGTAAAAATGAGTTCTATCTTATTCATGGATTTAATGCCAACAATTGCTACTTTCTCAGGAGATGAGTAGCTGGAGGAACCAAAAATCAGAT